TCACATAATGTAAAAGAAACTCTATTAAAGCATACAGTTCATTGTCTTAATATAGTCACAAAGTTGTGCAACTGTCACTGCTATGTAATTCCAGAACATATCCATCAACCCAAAAGAAACCCTGTGCCCATTAGCAGTTACTCTGCCTCTCTCCTCAAAACCACTAATCTTTTTTTCTCTATGAATCAGCCTAGTCTGGCTTTTTCATCCAAATGGCATCGTACAATATGTGGCCTTTTGCGTCTGGCTTATTTCCTTGAGCATAATGCTTTCACTTAGTGTACGTCACTCCTTTTTATGGCCAAATCATATCCAATTGTCTTGATATACTTCACTTTGTTTATCCATTGATCAGTTGATAGTCATTAGGGTTTTTTATACTTTCTGGTGATTGTGAATAATGTTGTTGTAAACACTCATGGACAAGTTTTTGTGTGGACATATGTCTTCAGTTCTCTTGGGTATGTATTAGAAGCAGAATTCTGACTCACATGGTAACTCTATATTCAACTATTTGAGGAACTGCCAAACTGTTTTGCCAAGTAGCTGCATGATTTTACATTCCCAATAGTGTAGGAGAGTTCCAGCTCTTCACACTCTGGCCAACACTTGTTATTGTGTGTCTTTTGATGATTGCCTTTCTAGTGGGTACGGGGTGATGACTTAATGTGGTTTTAACTTGCATTTCCCTAATGACTAATAATGTTGAGCATTGGCCCAGCGCAGAAGCGGGCACCTGTAATCCCAGCACTTTGGGAGGCTGAGGTGGGTGAGTCACAAGGTCAGGAGTTCAAGACCAGCCTGGCCAAGACGGTGAAAGCCTAAAAATACAAAAATCCACTAAAAATACAAAAATTACTGGATGTGGTGGTGGGCACCTGTAATCACAGCTACTCCAGAGGCTGAGGCAGAGATTTGCTTGAACCCAGGAAGGGAAGGTTGCAGTGAGCTGAGATCCCACTGCTGCACTCCAGCCTGGGCGACAGAGTGAGACTCTGTCTCAAATAATAATAATGATGATGATGATGAGGTTGAGCATCTTTTCATGGGATTTTAAATTTTGTTCTCCCAGCCTTACTGAAATAGTTCAAGCTTTCAAGAACATTTGACACCCCTAGTGACACCGTCTTTGAAATTTGTTCTTCTCCGGGCTGTTGGAACTTACCCTCTCTTGATTTTGCCTTTCCTTACTATAGCCTTAAATCGAGTCCTACTCCTCTTCCCAAACCTCAAACGCTGGAGTGGCCCAGTGCTTGGTATTTACCTTATCCTGTTGTGTTTTTCTTCATGACGTTTATTTCTATCCAAAATTAAAATGTATAATTAGTTATTTCCTTACTTATATTCTGCATCGCCAGTTGGAATATAAGCTCTAGGGGCTTTGTTTTGTTCTTGTCTATATCGCTGTTTCCTAGAATAGCACCTAGAAATAGATATTTTTGAGTGAATGAATATATGCTTTAGAGAAGTGTACAGAAGTGTTACATTAATTAAAGTCGGGACTCCATAATCAAATAAGTTTCTGGAATGTTGGATTAGATGAAGTTAAGCATCTTTTGTGTCGGACTTATACTTTAATGTGCTAATGAGCATTGTGAAATGTTATTTGACCATGAAAATAGTTTTGGTATGGAATGTGTCCTGGGACTTTAAAAAGACACTCTTCTAATTGTAGCAGCTAAACTGCAACCCCTAGCAAATTTGTGGAAGGCCTTTATTAAATAGCTGTGTTGTTGGCACTTAGAAAAGTAAGTTGTGATCACCACTGCTTAATATGAAATGCTAAGAACAGATTATATCAAATTATCCTCATCTCTGCTATTTGTAGGGTTTTTATCAGAATGTCATTCTATTAGAAGGCCTTAGTAATGGTACTTTTTCACAGCAACGAGGCTTTGAGCTGGCTTTATCATGATTTCCCTGTTCTGAGAAATTGAGTGGGTTGTCAGCATCCTGTGATCAGCCTGTCACTTAAGAATTTGTGTCAAGATATCAGGGTAGGTTAAGATCTATGCCCTTGGGGAAAAAATCACCTGTACAGTGAGCTGTTTACTGTCTTCAGTGTGTCACAGTGAAGTTTAAGTGGTGGCCAGTGATCAAGAGTGGCTTTTCTAGAACTTGGTGGTAACACAGTCTATGAACACGAAACCCAGAAGAGGAGGGTAAAGAAAAGGAAGCAGGGGGATAGGCCTGGAGCCTGGATATTCCCAAGTGCAGGGTTGCAGCCCACCATATGTTAGTAGTGGATAGTAACAGGCATATTCCTGAGGACCAGGCAAGGAGAGTGGTCAGAGTGCAGAAAGCCAGAGGCATTCAGAAAGATGTCTCCACATACTGGACATGGTAGCTCACACCTGCAATCCCAGCTACTTGGAGAGAGGATTGCTTGAGGCCCAGAGTTTGAGAACAGGTTGGGCAACACAGTGAGAACTCCATCGCTAGAAATATGAAGAAAAAAAGTTAGCTGGGTGTCATGGCATGCATCGGTAGTCCCAGCTATTTGGGAGGCTGAGACAGGAAGATATCTTGAGCCTGGGAGTTGAAGACTGCAGTGAGCTATGACTGCATCACTGTTCTCCAACCTTGGTGACAGAGTGAGATTTTGTGGGGAGAGAGAGAGAGGAAGGAAAGGAAAGGGGAAATAAAAGAAATTAAAAGGAGGGAAGAAAGGAAGGAGGAAAAGAAAAGAAAAAAGAGAGGAAGTATAGAAGGAAAAAGAAGGAAAGAAAGAGAAAGACAAAGAAAGAGTCTACACATAATGCAGTAGGGCAGGCAAAACAGTGAGTGACCTCAGTGCCCACACTGGTACCCTTGGCAGGAGCGAGATAAGAAACCAGATGGATATTGTAAGCCAGTGGTTCTCTCAAAGTGTGCCATTAGACCAGCAGCAGCTGGGAGCTTGTTAGAAATACAGACTTTCAGGGCCCTGCAGTCTGCATTTTAACAAGCCCCAAGTGCAGGTGGAAGTTTGAGAATGGCTAGTCAAATCAACAGAAACAAGCTTTCGCTAAAGAGATGCTTGAACAATGCCCTCATTCAAGGAGCTTCTTAATATCTTGTTTTGTTGGTGCAGAAATCATCCCTGAATGTGATGTCTACTTGGCCTTCAGGTTTAAATTTGTTTTTTTAAGTAATAAAAGTAAGTCTTCTATAGTTCCAGGTAATGAAAAGCTGCGTGCTAAGCACATGGTTAGCAGACTTAATTCTTTTAACCCTATGAGGTAGCAACCATTATAATCCCCATTATAGATAAAGATACTGACACATATGAGGCAAGGTCACACAGTTAGTTTGTGGTAGGTCCAGGATTTGCATTAGGAAATTTGACTGCAAGATACTGGTCTGGAGCTCCCTAGAATGTATAAAGAAGATGACGATGGATAGATGGATGGATGGGAGGGAGAAAGAGGTAGGAAGAGGGGGCAAAGAAAGAAGAAAGGAGGAAAACAAGAAAGGATAACAGTATATTTTAGAATTAAAGAATGATTGAAGGCTCCTTCTGAGGGTGGTCTGTATCCTTGTACTGTGTTATTTTCCTGGTTTTGCTTTTAAGTCAGCCTATCTAGAGATTTCAGCCTGGGCCCACCTGCCCAGCTTTCTTCTAAGAATTTGGTTTCATGGGTAGTTTGTGATTTATTTTTTCTTGTCTCTTCTTTCTCTTTCTCTTTCCATGCTCACATAGTCTTTGTGACTTAAGTACACACTTGGCCCAGTTGCTAAGAGATCCGTGACTGGCTTTATTATTGACTGGTGCATATTCTGGCAAAAGCCTGTGACTCTTTGGGTACTGTGCTCAGGGGCTGCTTCGAAGCTCTTCTCTGCTTCATTCACCTTGGACCACATTGCACCCTGCCTCTGCTTTAATAGCGTATCATTTTCCCCCTCCTTGTTTAGCAAAGCCACAGGGACACTTAATCTTATATTCTCTGGAGGCCTTTTGGAGCCTCGGAGCCTGACCTCAGTAATCAAGAAGGGGTGGGTGGTCAGGGATGAGGTTTGACCCTCTGTCTGCCTCTCTGTATTTGAGCTTTTTATTTTCACATTCCTCCCCATGGTTTGTAATAAAAATAGAACATAGTTCAAGGGCAGGAATGAGGTTTAACTTCAGCTGAGGTACAGTAGAGGCTATTTGGAAAGTAAAACTTTCAAATGGTAGTTTAGCCTTGAAGAATATATTGAATTAGGTATGCTCTGAGCCTTGATTCACGATTGCTGCCTAATAGCATTGCTATGTATATTACCTGGGTGCATTCGTAGACTACAGAAATGGGCTATTTAAAAGATTAAGTTTGCACAGTCAGTGCACGTGCTGATGAAACATGTGGGAGCAAAAGGCAGGTGGCCTCGTTTCCGGTACTGACTTCTACTTCCTGTGGGGCCCTGGCCTCACTGAACACTGATTTCCTCTTCTGTAAAATGGAGGTCATAGCCTCACAGGATTTTTAAGAGTGCTAAATGACAGAATGCCAAATGCAGAGCATTGCTTATCATAGGAAATAAAGACGTAATAAATGAGAACTGTTTATATTACTAGGATATGATTATTGCACAAAGCCCTGAGTCTGTAGTTCTGCCCATACTGCTTGCTACTCTCATTCATTAACTCTTTACATACACAGTTCTCTGTTAGCCAATTCTTATTTCTTGTCAGTGTCAGAGTCATGATGGTCACCCTTGAAGATGTGCTGTCATTTCAAAGCACTGGTTAAACACAACCAAGACTGACAACCATGAATAATTCCAAAGAGCCTCTAAAACACTCTAGCATTTCACTCCGTCTCTCATACATACCACCAAGTTGTTCTCTCTTGCTTAGTGCACTCTCTTCTCAGCAGATTATTTCAGGTATAGTTACTGATGGTGAATATCAACTTCCTCTGAAAAATAATCCAGCAGGAACCATCCAGAGTAATTGGGCTTCATGAGAACATCACTGTCAAGTCTAAAAATATATGGGAAGATAATCACATTTTATTTTTCTCTTTCTTGTATATTTTCAGCACGTTCACGTCCACATTCTTCCCAGGAAGGCTGGAGACTTTCACAGGAATGACAGCATCTATGATGAGGTGGGTCTGCGCTCTCTGATCTTATTGTTTGATTACGGGGACTGTCGGTGTGATAACATCAGCCTAATGAATCAACAAATACCCTAGATATGGTCTGAAATGGGGTTGTGTTTAGTCTGTCTTAGAAAGTGGCAGTAGAGACCAAGAGTCAAGAATGACCATCATGGGAACCCAAGACTAAGTTAATTATAATGATTTCTTTTTCAAATGAAAACTAACAGAAACCAAATGTCCTTGTGATTTCTATCCTGTCATTTACCAGGACAGTAAGTATTTGCATGGAGATATCGTCCAGAATCTCCATAGAGGAAAACCTATAGTGCTACCAGTGGAAGTCAAGTAGACTGATATATGATCCTTTTAGTCAAATGCTATACTTAATTTTCAAAACACTTTGAAACTCACCTTGTCTTTCCCAACAGCATTTATTCAGAGTGAAACTTTGAATTATCATGAGCAAAACTAGGTTGGTTAGAATAATGTAGGTGTAACTCACATATCATAAATATTATAGCATTTATTTTATTTCTGAGTACTCCCATTCAAAGATACAGGTGTAAAACCACTACAAACATGAATCAGCAAGAGCCAGGTGATCCACTCCCAAAGAGGATGTCTATGTGAGAACCTCCAGATGCCCATTTCCACTATGTGGAGCATAGAGCCTGTGACGTATCAGGTTGACATAAACTATAAGGTGATTTCAATGTACCTATTTATTGTAGCCAAGGAGTGGAAAGTAAGTCCTCCATATGGTAGAGCAAATTCGATAGCACTAGTGCCCTGGAGTGATTGGTTAAAAGGACTTTGAGGCTGTTTCTGGATGAAACAATGAAAAGTGCTGTGATTGATTAGCAGTGCCTGCCAAGGGCATCAGATAGGAGGAACGTGTCATATTTTCTGTCTATTTGACAATCCTGTTCTAACCCTTTAAGAATGCTTTTTAAGACACATTGCTTATTTCAGTCATTTATCGTGTGACTCTATCAAATAAACCACATGATTATCTCTACCTGCTTTCTAGGGACCAGTTAAAATCTATGCATCTTTTTGCATGTGTGTCTATGGGGCTTCTTTGCAGGATGGCATTAAAATGGCAACTCAAACCCTGAAAATAAAGAACAGGAGGTCAGCAGTTAATAATGGAACTTACAATTAATGTTTCTGGGATGTGCTGGGTTCCTTGAGGTGGCTGGTTATTCTGACTTTAGGATAGCCCTTACTATCTTGTACTTATGTGTTTTCAAGAGCTGTATTGGATGTGTGTAGATTGGAAATAGACTAGTCATCAGTACCTAAGTGCTGATTTGTGGACCAGTTGCTGCAGATCTCAATTCCCAGGAGGTACCATCCCTGGAGATCCTGATCAAGTAGATTGCACAGCACCCAGGAATCAGTCATTATATAAGGAAATCCCCAGGAGACTCGGATGCAAAACTACCTTTGGGAATAGGTTGTCTGGGTTTTCCAAAGTCATATTCTATAATACTATAATTTGAATTCATTTTCGCTGGATGTAAAATGCAGTTTGGGGATTGATAAGGGCTTAGTTCACATTGTAAGAAAATCAGAATTATAGAGTAATTATAAAGACATGCAATTAAAATACAAATACCAATCTCACTAACATAGACTAAGGTTAATAAAATGTTGCCAAATATAGGCTGTTTTAATGAATAAATTACCACCTGAATTATATACTAGTAAATACTGCTAAAGTAGCTTTAAAAGTACCTGAAAACACTGTTTTCTTAGGCTGAACAGTCACCTTGAAATCTTGTCGGTGTTTTAAGTGGGCTTGAGACAGAAGCATCATGGTGACATTTCAGCCCAGTTCAAGATACAGTGTCCAGTGCTGTAGTTGGTATATGCCCTCTCTCCTCTCTTATTCTTTTGCCCTTGTCTGCATGCTCTAATGGCCCCACAGATAAGAAGGAAACACATATTCCTACTTCTTACATTTTGGAAGATCATCTCAGGAGAAGTAATTACTGTAAGAATTCTTTTTTTTTTTTTTTTAAATCAGTGGCATGAGTCATATGTAGTATAGACAGTATTCACTAAGGGAGATTGTGGTACAAGACTAAGTAGAGATTGAAGTCTAGAAATGGGCAGAAGTAAGTTCAAATCCCAGTGGCATCTACTAACCATATGATATTGAAGCCTGATGGGCTTATTTCAGGGCTTGGTACTTAGCAAGCATTTGTTAATAGGTAGGGGTTTCTCTTCTTACTGTTATTATTACTAGTTTTGTTTCTTTTTAAAAAAGTAGCAAGGATGAGCAAATAGAGAACCAGATTCAAAGCCAGGTCATTGGATGTTCCCATCTACCATTCTTTCCAAGAGTGAGATTCCCAATTTTCCCATTTCCTTTAACCATTCCTTCTCAGTTTCATCTTCCTCTTTATATGGAAATGCTTCTCTAGGCTGAGTATCTAATAACACAGTGTTCAAAAGAGGCGTGAAAAGCATGCAGCACTGCACAGGCATTATTGGTATAGACCTTAACGTACATTAGACCAAGTGATCTTAATCAGAAGTGATGGAGTGATGAGGGATGGCATTCTTTATATTGATGGGAGCGCTGGCTCTAGATTATGCATCTGTTCAGGATGATCAACAAACAGACTGCCTTGGAGGGCAGGAGGTAGGAAACAGGAACAGCAGGGGGCTGAGCTCCATAAAATGTAATTGTATTCCTATGGCTGCAGACATAGAAAATTATGCCCAAAAAAGCCCCAGAGTATAAATTGGCTAGGAACACTGTGTTCTTTCTGGGCATTGTTTTAACATGGTTAGTGACAAATAACAAGGTTCATAAGAAGGGCATTTGGGTCTGAAAACAGATTTCGGGAATAGTTGATGGTAGGAGTGTTTTGTCTGGAAAAAGGAAGACTTGTGGAGGGGAGATAGTACAGAGTCACCGTTTCCAAATATCTGAAGGGCTGGCAGTGGAAAGGTATTAAATACATTCTATGTGGCTCCAAAGGACAAATCTGAGATTATCACACCACAAGATGGCAGGTATCATCAGCTCTACATAATAACAGGCCAAAGTGAGAAAAACTTCTGAACATTTAGAGTGCCTTATAAGGGGGTGAGCTTCCAACCCCTGGATCCACTCAAGCACAGAGCAGTTGGCCACAATTCTTCAAGAGGATGTCTACATTTGGTCACTGCACCATTTGACCCATTTGATCATCACCACCATCTTCAGATTTTACAAGTTCTGTAACAAATAGTGGGGTGTTTTTGTTATTATTATTACAATGTGACCATCTAGTGAAACATATTGTTTTCTATGTTAAGTTTATGGAAGTATAAGGTAATACCTTTTTTTCTGTTTACTTATAGGAAACCACACTCTATTGATTTTTTTCTCATTCCCAGCCTACTCCCTGCTTTTCTTGTAGCTCAGCATTGCATGTTGATGGTCCTTGGGCTTTGTTTGCCTCCTCATAAGTGTTTTATTTTTGCCTGCAAAGTATTTTTTGGGGATGTGCTTTATTGTGCCCGTAAAGTATTTTTTAACAAGTCTAAATGTTGTTAGGCATATTGCTCGTTCTTTAGGCCAAAACAATTGTCACAACTCTCTCCCACCTAGGATTGCTTCACTGGCTTCTGGTGCCTGCATGGCTCCTGAAGGCATTAGAGTTTGAGATCACTCCCTATTTCATGGGCTGCTCCTCTTGTCCCTGCCACTAAAAGATTACTATTCTCCAGAATCTTCTGTCTGGTATACAGGGCATGCTGTTTATCTGAAACATCTGTTTCACCTCCCTGCCTACTCATACACAGTGCTCTGGCCCCAAGTGAGTTCTTTTCTGTTGTTATTATTTTACTTCAAGTTCTGGGATACATGTGCAGAATAGGAAGGTTTGTTATATAGGTATACATGTGCCATGGTGGTTTGCAGCACCTGTCAACCCGTCATCTAGGTTTTAAGCCTGGCATACTTTTGGTATTTGTCCTAATACTCGCCCTCCTCTTTGCCACCAACCCCCAACAGACCCCAGTGTCTGATGTTCCCCTCCCTGTGTCCATATGTTCTCATTGTTCAACTCCCACTTATGAGTGAGAACATGAAGTGTTTGGTTTTCTCTTCCTGTGTTAGTTTGCTGAGAATGATGGTTTCCAGCTTCATCCATGCTCCCTGCAAAAGACATCATGATCTCATTCTTTTTGTGGCTGCATAGTATTCCATGGTGTCTATGTGCAACATTTTCTTTAGCCAGTCTATCATTGATGGGCATTTGGGTTGATTCCAAGTCTTTGCTATTGTAAATAGTGCTGCAGTAAAAATATGTGTACATGTGTCTTTATAGTACAGTGACTTATAATCTTTTTGGTATATACCCAGTAATGGCATTGCTGGGTGAAATGGTATTTCTGGTTCTAGATCCTCGAGGAATTGCCACACTGTCTTCCACAATAGTTGAACTAATTTATACTCCCACCAACAGTGTAAATGCATTCCTATTTTTTCACAGCCTCACCAGCATCCTTTGTTTTAATAATCACCATTCTGACTGGCGTGAGATCTCAGCGTGGTTTTGATTTGCATTTCTCTAATGATCAGTGATGATGAGTTTTTTTCATATGTTTGTTGACTGCACGAATGTCTTATTTTAAGAAGTGTCTGTTCATATCCTTTGTCCACTTTTTGATTGGGTTGTTTGTTTGTTCTTGTAAATTTGTTTAAGTTCCTTATAGATTCTGGATGCTAGAACTTTGTCAGATGGGTAGATTGCAAACCTCTCATTCTGTAGGCTGCCTGTTCACTCTGATGCTAGTTTCTTTTGCTGCACAGAAGCTCTTTAGTTAGATCCCATTTTTCAGCTTTGGCTTTAGTTGCAATTGCTTTTGGTGTTTTCAGCATGAAATGTTTGCACAGGACTATGTCCTGAATGGTATTGCCTAGGTTTTCTAACAAGCTCTGAAATTGAGGCAGTAATTAATAGCCTACTAACTAAAAAAAACCTAGGACCAGATGAACTCAC